GTACTTCAGTGTCTTCAGTCGTTCGGGTGTTTTTGTTTCTCGGTATTGGATATGTAGCTCCAAGCTGGTTCTCCATAGAGTAAGGTTGGGCGTATTATTGACTTATGGATGTTGATTTTATTTTTTGGGCCCAGAAAAAAATTGGTCTTTATGATGGGAGCCAGAAGACGCTTGGCAATTTGTGCCTTTCTGAGGGTATTTGCTACCTGGGGATGGCCCCTGATGGTCTTGTCAAGGACTATTCCCAGGTATTCGGCTGTAATTTTTGGCCTAATTGTGACGTTGTTAATTGTCAGAGGAAGGTTCATGATGGTGTTAGACGCTTCCTGGTCAGGGTAAGAAGCTCCGTCTTGGGGTGTTGAGGGTGATTATCCAGGTCTGAAGATAGAGGGTGATTTAAGTCAATATGGTTTTCCAACGCCCTTCTCGCGTCTTCTGCGAGAAAGGCGCTGGTGTGAATCGCGGTATCGTCGGCATACATCATGACTTTGGTGACATTGGTCTTGGGTATGTCGGCGATGTACAAGTTAAACAGGGTGGGGGAAAGGACGGTGCCCTGGGGCACTCCGACCCGAATCGGTTTGGTTGGAGATAGTGAACTTTGAAATTTGATCTTGAATGTTCAGTCATTAAGGTAGGAGGCAATTAAAAAAATTAGATGAAGGGGTAAGTAATGTGTAGTCAAAAGTTTATAGATAAGGCCCTTGTGCCAGACTTTGTCAACGGCCTTCTCTTTGTCGAGTAGCAGTAGGAAGGTGCTTTCTCGGTTGTTGAATTCTAATGAGGCGTCTTGAGCCACCCTCGCTACTGCTAAAGTCGTGTTGTGCTGAGGGCGGAATCCGTATTGTTCGTTGGGGAAGCAGTTCAGGGAGTCTTGTTGAGGAGAGTCTACGGAAGATGCTTTTTTCCGCAATTTTACTGAGGGAATTTAGTAGAGATATTGGTCTGAAACTCTGAAGGACTGTGATTGGGTCAAGTCTTTGCCGGGTTTTGGGAAGACTATTATGCTCGCCTGCCTTCAGGGTTGTGGGAAGTGTTGCAGAGTTAAGATCGAATTTATGATTTGCAAGAGATGCATAATAGTCTTCCTGGGAGGTTTTTGATTACCTGGTTAGTAATTGTGTCGGTTCCTGGGGGCACTTTCCTGTTTTTAAATTTCCTCAGTTCGTCAGCTATCTCGATTGGCGTGGCCAGCATCCGCTAGTGTACCCCCGGAGGGATATGGTATTTGTGCCTGACAAAGGCGTCAGCGATGTCGTTGATGGAAGTGCGTCTTCCGGTTGTGCCTGGTGTTTCGCTGGAGGCCCTGGGCGAACTAGTTTGCGAATACGTTTGCCTTGTCCTGTTCTCTGTAGAAACTGGCGCCATCGACCACCAGTCTCTCTGTGTCGCGCCCGATCGTCGAAGGTTTTTGGCCAGCTTCCACAGAGAGTTATTTTGGGTTTCAAGTGAGGAGACATATACCTCATCCAGGTCCTGTTCCTGTGATGGCGTATGCCTCTCTCTATTTCTTGGCTGAAAAGATTGAGTAGCTGTTTGTCTAGTATGTTTGCGCCTTTGCCTTGCTCGCTTGACCCTATTCCTCTTCTTGATGAGCGCAACAACGGAGTCTGGGATGATGTCAGTTCTTGATTTGGGTGTGATTTTTGGAGCTAGTTGATCTCTGACTTGTTTGATGGTGTTCGTGATTTGTACTACTTGCCGCTCAAGTTAGGGGGTGGTCGTTATGGGGTTGGGGATTGTCGTGATATTATTTAAGAGTTGTTTGTAGAGAGTCTAGTTGAAATTTTTGTAGCTATATTTCTTTTGCAGTTCCTGCCCAGGAATTTTTTTCCAGTACAGGAAGAGCGGTATATGATCCGAGCTTAAAACGTTTTTAGTTTTGATATTTAAGTTTCTGAATCCCCTCGAGAGAGCGATATCTATCGTGGAGGGGTTCGGTCCGTTAAGCAGGAAGTGCGTGGGGTGATTTGGGTGATGTATTAAAATGTCCGGATTGTCATTTGTCAATTAAAAATTTGAAAAGTATTCTACCTGACCCCCTAGAAGTAATGCTCTCCCATTTCTGGGAAAGAAGACCCTAAAATCATGGGCGGGTCTTATCGCTTCAGGGTGGGCGTAGCCTCCCGAAATCCATAAATTGTTGTCTATTTCCAAAGTGATGTGCTCTATATCGGGTATTTAACGTGGTGATTCGTTTGAAGCTAACTGATTCATGGATTAGGCAGGCCACGCCTCCGCCCATGTGGTTTCTGTTCATTCATTTTGTTGTGTACTGATTTTGCTTATAGTACGGGATACGAGGCCTATTTCATCAAATCATTTTACACCGTCTTGCATTGTTATCATCAGTTAGATAACATGATGCTGAAACGCACTTGCGCAGTAAAATATATGGGAGTGGGGAATTTAGCTGATAAAAATGTTTGAGAAAATGTCGTCATAATCCAGGAAAATATACAATTTCACACCGTCTTGCATTTACTTATTAAGTTAATTTGTACACAAACAAAATTAGAATACCCTATGCAAGACATTTTCCTGGGGGTTTTCGGGTTGTAATATTAGATAGAAATTGTCAATTTTTCAGAGGGGTGAAATATCATTTCACACCACTCAATTGTTGATTTAGATTAAAGCTTGAATGTAGAATAGCCATTGGATACTGATGCAAGACGTACTGTGAGGGGATAATGGGCTGCAAGACAGAGGTCAATGTGTTGTCTTATGAGGGAGGGAGAAATCATTTTACACCGTCTTGCACTGGTACTTATGGGAAAAATAGAACACATTGATAACATTTTTAAAAATACAAGACATTCTAAATGGGAAGAAAGGACTGCAAGACGATGATGAAGTTGACTAATTTTGACAAGGGTCAATCTATCAGGTACAAAGGTGAATACTACTTCAAATTACAAATTATGCACATTAATTTTAAATAGTTTTGCTCTTCACCACGTAGAATAATTCTATTTTGCGAAATTCTCCTAATAATATGTATATATGAATGTTTCTACGGACATCAAATAAAAAAAGATTGAAAATTGTTTTATTTTTGACGGCTTTTAATCATTTAGGTTCTCTTTGAGGTGGATATCCCATGACACATAACATGTTTTGTGCACATAACAGATTGTAAGCATTAAATTTGAAGAATTTCATTTTAAAGCAGCAAAAAAATGTGAAAATGACACAACAAATAATCTGTCTGAAATTGTAAACAAAAATTATAATTCCTGTATTCAACAGACTCCCCTGTTGAGCTGCTATGTCAACTGTCCTTTTTCATCTGTATGATTTAAAAAAGAATAAACATTGAACGGTTCAGTAAATAACTCAACAGTTCAGTGAAAAAATTAAAATGGATTTTTTAACTTTTTTTCCCAGAAAAAACGTCTTGGACTGATGTAATACCATTTCTTAACATAGATTCTTTCGGCGGACATAAGCATGAAGTGGTGTAAAATAATTTTTCACTCCCTCATGAGACAACACATTGACATCCGTCTTGCAGCCCGTTATCCCTCTACAGGACGTCTTGTATCAGTATCCAGTGGCTATTCTACATTCAAGCTTTGATATAAATCAACAATGGAGTGGTGTAAAATGATATTTCACCCCTCTCAAAAATTGACAATTTCCATCTTATATTACAACCCCAAAACCCCCATGAAAATGTCTTGCATGTGTTAATCCAATTTTGTTTATGTACAAATTAACTCAATAAATAAATGCAAGACGGTGTATAATTAAATATCTTCCTCGTTTATGATGACATTTTCTGAAACATTTTTTTCAGCGAAATCCCCCACTCCTATCTATTTCCCTGCACAAGTGCGTTTCAGTACCATGTTATCTAACTGATGATAACAATGCAAGACGGTGTAAAATGATTTGATGAAATAGGCCTCGTATCCCGTACTATTAAGGCTGTCCGTTGGTAGTAGTTTTGTCTCGTTTAAAAAGACTAGTTGGGACTGTTCACGACTTGTATTTTGGGCGCGGTTCAGTAAAACTTGTCTAGTGTGCACACCTAATTTACCTTTAACAATGGGCCCGACTATTCATTTGGCTTTGAAGGCCTCTGGGTGCGTTCACATGCTGTCTTTAGCTTCACAAACAGCTATTTCAATTTCTCATATTCTCATCCGACGATAACGAATAGCAGATATCATTCGCTGTCTTAGGACCGGTTTATCAGTAGACGATTATTTAGTTTATCTGTCGGTTATTTATTAATAATTATTAGTTAACCGAAAGCTAAACTAAATAACCGTCCCTTGATAAACCCATCCTTAGACATGCATGACATATAAATACGCTCTCATCAATTTTTCATAATATCTGACTGTCTCTAAATTACACTGAGGGCAATCAAAAATTCATATCTACAATAATGAAAGAAATAATATCAGTTCTATTAACATAACAAACGAAAAAGGCCAGAAAAAGGCCATTTTTTAGTTTTTTTTTTTTTTTTTTCAAATTCTCAGTCATTTTTTCTATTGCAATATGCCATTTTTTTACCATTTATGGGAAGACGGCGTAACTGCGAGTAAGTGAGCCAAAACTGAAATCTGTAGGAGGCGTAGTTTTAGGAGTCACAGTTGAAAATTTTGCTTTTTTTTCAAAAAAAATGAATTTAGCAAAAACCTCTGAATATTTCCATCTGAAAAACTGCTGGCTTTTTGGGACACTGAAAGGTATCTTTTGCCGAAGTTTGAGCTTGATTGATTTTTTTTATTATCTACAAGTTTCTTCGATAGGATGCACAGTTTACCCATAAATCGCGAAAAAGTACATAGTTTCAACCCCTAAAAAACCACCTCATTCCCCTAGATAGCAGTTGTCGGTTCGATTTTTTCCCCTGTTTCACGATAGCTTGTTTAATAATATTTCGCGATCAGATTGCTGTAACGAATCATCTATTTTTTTCCCAATTCTGATGCTTATTTTTACGGGTCTATGATCAGATTAATAGAATTAACTTGTTTCAGGTCTCAGTTCAAGAATTCCTAAATAAACACACTGGCCTGGGCTTTGAAAAAATCATTGAAGAAAGCGGCTTTAGAGCTCAAATAGGGCCAGATAAAGTCAGGATCACCTTCGAACAGCACCAATCTTCAGATACTCCAATTTTCAAAGGTATTGATTAGTTGACTCCAAAAAAAAAACCTTTTAATTATGTACCTACTTTTTTTTTATTCAGATAAGGAATCTAATCCCCAATGGTCTCATATCCGTAAAGATTTATTAAAATCCATTCTCCAATCTGAAACTAAAGAATTATATGTGCCGTTGAATATTTTGAGAGTTTATTATAAAACTCTAAGCGGCGATGAAATTCACTTACAAGACTCTGTGGAGCAAGCCAAATGGTTATTGTCAGAATTATCCAAAGAATATTATTCTCAAGATGACGATTCTTTGGTGAAACCAAGTCCAGCAAGTGAAACTTCAATTTTGGCCAACGTGGACCAATTGACCAAAGAAACTCGGAAAGAAAATCAAGTTTTAGATAAAGTTTTCAAACTGGAAAAATTATCTCTGTTAATGGATAGTTTAAATGAGTTGCAAATGATTGAAAATGAAGAAGAGCTATTAAAAGTTTTGACAAAAATTAATAAAAAAGGCGGACTTTCAATAAAAGATGAACTTATAAAAAATAGTGATGAAGAAAATAAAGATTCAGATGTTAAAGTTCAAAGCGAGATCACACATGTTCCGGATGAATTATGATGTTATTAAAAGAATTTAGGATATTTTAATTTTTTATATCAATGTTTTTCCGAGAGATAAGGCTTAAAAAATATCAATCTTTTGTTGAGCTAATCTTCCTATAGAAAATTCCAGAACTAGACAAATGTTAGCCATAACCATAATAACAAGCAGGGTATAAATCTTTTTTGTATTTGGCACATAGCTCATTATAAACAACCTCTTATTTTCCACTGTTCTCCAAGCAATTTGATATTGTGGATCTGTAAGTTTGTTGATCTCTATCCGTTTACATATATACTAAATTCTCAAAGGCTAAAACAATGCAAGGGTAGAAATACCTTTTGTTTTTACCTTTTTCAATCTTTCCAGAATTTTGTGCCTCTGTCCTTATCTTGAAAAATCCATTTGTTTGTTACTGTTTATTTTTATTAATTGCACAGGCAGTGAGATGCGTGATCTTTTTTTTTTCAGGGCAAATAATTCATCTTGTACTTCAAAGTGTACATAGTATAATTTATTTAAATGTACAAACTGTAAGAAATATTTTTATATGTTATTTAAAAAAATTGTTGAGTGTAAATAAAAGTTTTATCAAAAAAAAAAGTTGTTATCTCTTCAGCCAGAATCCCTTCACTTATGTCCTCTAGTGCATTGGGATTGGGGTTGGTCACCCTGCCAATAGGTTAGATTCCATTTGGGGATGGGTAGGTATTTTTTCTGTGGCGTATACAGCCGGGATGGAAACGCCAGGGAAATAGGAATAAATAAGGTATGTGCCTGCAAAAATAAACATCATAATGATCAATCACATTAGCATCTAATAGCATTCTAAATCATGCAGCACACCAAATAGCAATGCCATGCAACTGCAACCATGAACTACTGCTTATTTTCGAATTCTTATGTCATACTTCTTGATGCAATCTATAACCATATCTGCTTCTTCACTGGTTGGGTTGGGTTTGCAAGAATTTCTTCCATCTGTATTGGACCTCCTACCATCTTGTTCAGTCTTGAATACAACCAATCTGTCGCACGACTCGCACGTCTGTTCAGCTCACAGTTCAAGAGCACATGATTTATATCACCCACTACATCATATTCACAATTCTCGCTGTCCTGCATGCCAAGTTTGTGTTTGTGTTTAGCTATGAGGCAATGTGTATAGTTCTTTATTCTGCAAAAGACACTAGTCTGTCGGCCCTTTTAATTTTTGCAATGGTGTTCTTTGAGGTTTCTTCATTAATTGTATTGACCTTAATGATTTCTGCCTTTGTTGGTAAATTCCACAGTCCATTGCCTCCATATGTCTCTTCCTTAGCTACTCTGAATAGATCATCATAGTGTATTGTTCTGTTGATAGCATTATTTGCCTCTCAGCCTCTTCCAGCAAGTCTATCTGCCTTTTCATTTATTGAGATTTTCTTTGTGTGGTTGTATATTCCATGGCTCCAAAGATACATCTGTATATATTTTCTCATGGTCCAGATATTCCTCCAACAACTCCTGTAATAAGAGTTGGCCATCTGGACTGTACTTTTGTATATTCGAATCCACAATCCACCCAGTCTATTTTCCGCAGTTGAGTTGTCATATCCTCTTCGAAACATGGCAGATTGTCCGATCTTTCCAATATTCCTATGTGAGCCAACACATAATCCACATCCTCCATTACTGTCGGAGCGCACTTGGTCCGCCAATAAGGCGAATCCTCATTGTAACAAGCATAAGTTGAGTATCACCCTATTGACCTCGTCCCCTCTAATGGCTACTTTTCTAAACATCAACTTTGTACTAAGTAGTCCTTCGCTTTATCAATGGCATTTCTGCCGCTGCAGAAAACAACGCCATTATGGGAGTGCTTCTCATACAGCCAGTCACTACTCTCAAGGCCTGGTACTGAATGCTATCTATTTTGCTAGAATTCATCTTACTTATGTTATGAGGTACCTACATCGCTTGACAGTCATGATGAAAATTGGTTCTAACCAGCTCTTTATAAATGTTCAACAAATATATTTGGGTCAGCGCCCCAACATATGTTCTTGTAATTGCTCTCATTATGTGAATTCCTTTCTGTACCTTGTTAATCACATATTCAATGTGTTCTCCACCTCAGCTTTCTGTCCATTGGAATATTTCTGCTTCCCTTGGAGAACAACATAGATTTGGGTTCTTCTATTGAAATACACCTGCAAGCCAAGGCACGGGCTACGTAAATCTTCCTGTATACTCAACAATCCATTCATTAACTTCTTTCTGAGAATCTCCAATCGTATACATTATCATAAGCAGCCCGAATGTCTATGAAGGCACATACTGTACTAAATTTTTTTCTCCAAGAAGGAATTAGGGAATCCAAACCACGTGACTTTTGCCAACCAGCCGGCATTTTGAAATTTTTATGAGGTTAGAATACGGGTTGTTACATGTCAACGATGTCAGTATTGATAAAGCCTAGTACTCATAACAGTGAAATTAGCTGTTTTTTGACATTGCTTCAACAATTTGACGTTTTATGTGTGAATCAAACGTCAAAAAAGAGCGAATTTCGCGGTTATGAGTACTAGGCTTAATCCCGTCAAAATAAAAACATATGTTTTTTGTTTATTATTTGCCAACCAGACGCCATTTGGACAGGTCGTTGGATTGCCTAATTGACCTTTTAGTTGGGGAGCTGGCGTCAAAAACATGCAAGAGTTTTCGCAAGGCGGATATTTTCAAAATAGGTCGTACTTTAGTGTTAGAATGCTAGTGTACAGTCAGCACTCACAGTTCCGGGACAGCTGGCTCTGGGACGCGGGCAAAGTTGTAATTTTAAGAAGCATCTAAACTGTTTTCTCAAAGCTCAAAATCTATAGAAATTTTGCAGATTATCTGTTTGAAGGTCACAGATAACGTATGTAAATCGTCAGACGTTTAGTTCGTTGCAAAAAGGGGGTCCGACGTCCTCAAAGTTTTTATTTTATGGCATTTTCTTCGGTGTCCTGTCAAAATATATTTTTGCAGGTATTTGACAAATATATTTGAAGAAAATGCCATAAAATAAAAACTTTGAGGACGTCTGACCCCCTTTTTGCAACGAACTAGACGTCTGACGATTTACATACGTTATCTGTGACCTTCAAACAGATAATGTGCAAAATTTCTATAAATTTTGAGCTTTGAGAAAACAGTTTAGATGCTTCTTAAAATTAGAACTTTGCCCGCGTCCCAGAGCCAGCTGTCCCGGAACTGTGAGTGCTGACTGTACACTAGCATTCTAGCACTAAAGTACGACCTATTTTGAAAATATCCGCCTTGCGAAAACTCTTGCATGTTTTTGGCGCCACCTCCTGGACTATTTTGTTTGGACGCCATATTGCGGTGCGCGAACATAGTTGCCAAAAGTAGAAAAAAAAAATTACTAGGTTACTGTCAACATTAAAAACAAAAGTTACTGAATAAATTACATTTAAAATTTAAATTTGCCGCTTATTACGAATGTTTTTGAAAAGAAAAGCCATCAATTTTAGCTTTTATTGAGCAGAATAGAAATAATAGAATAGCTGCTTTCGGGTGCCACCTTTTGAGCGCTCCTGAGTTACTCCGAAGTACTCCAGCTACAGTTTCACCCGTTCGGTATCAAGCGTTCGAGTGCAAAACGCATGAAGTATGACAGGTCACTGACAGATGTGAAGTGTTCTTGGAGCTTCGCACTCTGCACCCGAAAGCGGCTAATATCTACCTATTTATTTTCATCAATCAGAGAGAGAAAGTAAACAAACAAAAAGGATAGCGAGGATCAATCATTTAGTTACTTTTGTTGTTCATGTTGACAGCCAGCTAGTAATTTTTGTTTTTTTCTTTTGGCAACTATGTTCGCGCACCGCAATATGGCGTCCAAACAAAAGGTCAATACAGTGTTGCCAGGTCTACTGATTTATCAGTAGATCTACTGATTTGGCCATTGGTCTACTGATATACTGATATCAATGTGAATTCTACTGAAAAGCAGCTGTCATTATTTAACCGCTTTTTATGATATTTTTTAAATTATAATCATGTATGAGAATGTCACAGCAATAATTTCATGCTTGACCTGTGGGCTAGAACTCTTAGGAGTGTACTCTAAATGACGCCCGATTACTCCGATCAGTCCGGTGTGGTATGTATTGGAACATTCGAACGCTCGCAGTGCAGGCGCAGCACTCAGCCTACTGGAAAATGGGTAAACCTTGGGGTTTGTGAGTGCTTGTGTTGGGTCTTGTTACTCTTGTTTACTTGCCTTTTGTCTTGCCAGTTGCCTAAAGGCATGCGTTGTTGTTGGTTAAGTCAATTGGTCACATAGCGTTATGCTGTACAACTAACTGCAGCCTGTTGCCTGTTTCACCTGTTTTTATCAGATACTAGACTTCTAACTACATACTAAATAGGAAGTGCATTCTTTGGTAGTGCATATTAAATAGGAATATTCTATGTCTCTTGATAAACTATTTCCCATAAGTAGTATTATTGGTGTTTGATTTTCCAATGCAAGTTTTCATAGTCTAATGCACAGTCTAAAGATTTAATGATTTAAAAAAATGTTACTAAAATAATTAATTGAGTATACCCTAATGGTTTACCCCTTTAACTCGGATCTAGGATCTGTCTACTGATTTCTACTGATATTTAGACTGGTAGTCTACTGAAAAAACGAAATATGACCTGGCAACACTGCTCAACCATACTTTCCAATAATTTACCCAAGCACGATGGCAATTGGCAAAGCTATTGCTCTGTATGCTTTAAAAGTCTTCGGGGTCTTTCTTGGGTTTTTTAAGGGATGACGATTTGGTTTCCTCACGCCTGTGGGATACCTGTCTCCTGTCTAATTCCATAAAAAAGTTGCACCAAGATAGTTTTCATAAATGGCCGTAGTCTTGACAAAATAGGGTAAGTAATTCCGTCTTCTCCTGGCGCTGTTATTTTTTATTTCATGTTATGATCTTTAATAATTTTTTTTTATGATATTTTTTTAACTTTTATTTCTACCGAAACTGTTCGGGGCCCCCAAGGACAATCTCGCGGAAGGGCCCGCAAGAAACTCGGCACGCCCCTGTTGTGGATGTTGTTTGTGGAAAGCAGACCTGGGCAAAACACTCGAAAAAAGTGCTTGGAGCACCAAGCATCAAGCCCTTAGGCAAAGGAATTGCCAGCACCCAAGCACTTTGGAAGTTCTTAGTGCTTGCAATTACCAATTACCAAGGAGATTTTGGGGTAATGGTGGGTTTATACAGACACATAATAGGTTTGTTTGTTATGGGGTTAGTGCAAATAGTGTAAGACGTTTGTTATCTCAGTGTAGGGGTGCCCAATCTTGCACTACCTACACCTGCTCAAGAGGAGGTGTAACAAGTGCAGAATGTGGAGGAGGCAATGTTGTTGTTTTGCATGACACCAAAAATAGGGTACTTGCATGGAAAATTAAATTGATTATTGTTTATTGCAAACTGTAGGAAATCGAAAAAAAAATATGTACTTTTTTTTAATTTCACCCAAATATGATTATTCCGGAAGTTATACAAATATTAAGTTTTTTATATATAGATATACTGAGCATGTGCGACGTCA